GAAATTTTGTAATTTTGATTTGATTTGGTCTAAATTAGTTTGGTCGGGAAAATGTTTGTTTGCATAATTTATAACTATGAAAATTTTGATTTGATTTTGTCCAGTGTGATTTGACCCCACCTATATCTTACATAGGAGTAATTTATAACACTTTACTCTTGTTTGAAGAAATATAACTAAAATTGTGTTTGGTTCACACAATTATCAATGCAAATATGACAAATTATGAATTGTGGCTAGTCTTTAAATGAAACTAATTAAAATACAATTTATTTTAATTGTATATTGATAAAAATATATTGGAACAACTAAGTAAGGAATATGTGAAGACAATAATGGGAAGAGGGAATGAGGATGTTTTTTTTGTTAGATGTCTGGTCTATGTGTATAATACAATTGTCTAAGACTGATCTAGTTTGATCTTTTAAAATTTTCTCGTTTTTAATTGTAGTCTAATTTAATTGTCTAAGACTGATCTAGTTTGATCTTTTAAAATTTTCTCAAGTTTTTAATTGTAGTCTAATTTGTTTTGGTTTGATCCATTCTGAGACTAAAGAAGTCCAACTAATAATATACGGAGTAGTTATAGACTTATAGTTAGTGTATATATTTTAGGAATTTATTAATTTATGTGGTCCTTTAACAAATGCCTTATTATTTTCTTCGTAACTTTACTCTTAGTAATTTAATAATCATGTCTTGAAAATAGTAATGCGGTTTGTCCTTGTTAAAGTTATACGAAGTATATTTTAGGAATAATTTATTAATTAATTTGGTCCTTTAATAATTGCCTTATTGTTTTCTTCGTAACTTTACTCGCGAGTAATTTAGTAAATCACGTCTTGAAAATAGTAATGCAGTTTGTCCTTCTTAAAGTTTTTTATCTTCATAAATCATATATAACCGTCTAGAAAAATTCGTGTTCACATGATAGCGATATCTTTCTCAAAATTGTAACGGATTTTATAAGAAGTTTAATTTCAATGTGACTAAAATCACACGAATAAGATAGATTATAAGAATATGCCCAATTGTATGTTGCACAATTCATCTGTGTATATACGGGTGCTTGGGATGTTCTAAACTGTGTTAAGTTATCACGTACAATACTTGTTTTTGTGTTTTTAGTTATTCAGTATTTCTTATTGTATTGTATTATAGTATTGGTATGAGATGTTTATAAATAGCTGTAGATTATATTTGATTTTCACCCTATACTTATTCTTTTTTACTTTTACTGGTTCAATTGCATTCAAATTTGGAATTTCATCAATCGAGAACCTGAAAATAGATGAATTATCAATTTATGAGGGGTAAAATTATTCATTTTTTACTGTAAATTCTCTTTTTTATTTACGTAATTATGAATTTGTGATTGAAGTCACTCCGGAGGACTGTAAAATTCTTCATTTTTTGATCACTTTTGATAGAGATAATGAATAGGTGCCCGTGACCTGATCCTTATTTTCATGACATGGGTCGTGTTTGGGGCGATGTAAAAGATGATGGGTCGTGCCCTATACATTTTTCATTGTTACATGAGTCCATCAAAATTGATTCATGTGAATGTATGGGCAATTAGAATGTGGATGATAAATTAATAGAGAAGTCCTATTCACGGCCACTAAACTATGTAAGAATAAATAAAATGTGAAGCTAACTAAAAGAGCATGAACGATGCATCTAAGTAGCGAAGTTCATGTCTTGCACTAGATAAGGAAGATTATTGGTATATGTATGATCCAACTCGACTCTTCTACTTTACTGGATGTGTTTGACTGTTTGTTCTATGCTTAGGCGGTTCTTTTCTGGACACTGGCACTCCAACTCTCCGAGTTGCTTTGTCTCCCGCAATGTTGGGAGTTGTTTTGGTGTCCCGGCCAGATTCGTCTGGTCAGAGGTTCTTGGTTGCATTCTTTTGAGCTGCTAGATTATATTTGATAATTTAGCTACTTTACCGCAATAATTAGTATAAAATGTCAAATTCAAAACGTCAATCCAAAACTAGCTCTCCTATTTGTAGCATTTCCATTTCAACGATTCCGTCCAAAAACGCTAGAGCTAAACAACCGCTTACCAAACAACGCACATATTCACTTATTGAAAACGCTAAAAGAGATAAAATAGTCATTTTTTTTTTACTTAAATATCTTTTCCAAACACCACAAACGACCCATAATATGAGAATACGGTAATGTTGTCTGTAATGGTGCGTAGTTTGTACTCCGTATTATGGTATACCATAAGACTACCCGACTTTAGCCGACACAAAATGAATAAGACTACCCGACTACCTAGCCGTATGTTCGGCTAGAGATGTTCAGCCGAAGGAAAGAAAATATTTAGGGATTCAAGATTTGATTGTGTTATTGATCTCTTTGGAATGTACAATATTTATAGATGCTAATGTGAGCCCTTGGCCCGTTAACTATAATAATTAACAACTAATGTAAACAAATATACAAAGCCCGATAACACCCCCCCTCAAGTTGGAGCATGGGGATTGAAGATGCCCAACTTGCTAAGTAAATAGAGAAACTGTCGATGTGCAAGGGCTTTGGTAAAGATGTCTGCCAATTGATCAGTAGTGGAAACGTGAGAAGTCGTGAGAAAACCATCCTGAATAGCGTCACGGACATAGTGACAGTCAACCTCAATATGCTTAGTGCGTTCATGAAATACAGGGTTCTGAGCAATATGAAGTGCAGAGCGGTTATCACAGAATAAAGAGACAGGACGCGGGTGGGCAACGCCGAGAGAGAGAAGAAGACCTTTGAGCCATTTGAGCTCAGCAGTAACCGCGGCCATGGACCTGTATTCGGATTCGGTAGAGGACCTAGAGACCGTATGTTGCTTCTTTGTTTTCCACGAGACAGGAGAACTTCCAAGAAAAATTACCCAACCACTAAGAGATCGGCGGGAAAGGGGACAACTAGCCCAATCCGAATCACACCAGGCCGAGAGTTGCAAGTCAGATGAGGAGCAAAGAAGAATGCCTTGACCAGGTGCCCCTTTAAGATATCGTACAACACGCATAGCTGCTTGCCAATGGTCCTGTCGGGGAGCCTGCATGAACTGAGACAAAATGTGAACGGCATAACCCAAGTCCGGGCGAGTAAAAGATAAGTAGATAAGCCTCCCCACGAGTCGGCGGTAGGATTCGGGGTTGGCAAGTAACTCGCCAGTAGCAAGAGCTAAATTATGATTCTGCTCCATTGGTGGACATGGGGCGGGTTTAGCACCAAGTAGACCTGCTTCAGAAATAATGTCAAGTGTATATTTTCTCTGACAAAGAAACAAACCGTCGCCACTGTGAGCTACTTCTATACCCAGGAAATATTTAAGAGGACCCAAATCCTTCATATGAAAACAATTGTGTAAATATTGCTTAAAGGCACGCAAGGCATCAGAATCATTCCCTGCAAGTATAAGGTCATCAACATAAACCAAAATATGCATACGCACGGCTCCCTGACTATAGACGAACAGAGAGTAATCAGCCTTGGATTGACAGAAACCATAATCACGCAAAGCCGCGGCCAGCTTTGCAAACCAGCATCTGGGTGCCTGACGCAATCCATATAAGGATTTTTTCAAGCGGCATACTGTGGACGGCCGTGAGGGATAAAATCCAGGTGGTGGTTTGATGTACACTTCCTCGCCTAAGTCACCGTGAAGAAAGGCATTATGCACATCCATCTGATGTAGCTCCCAATTTTTAGCGGCAGCGACAGCTAAAAACATTCGAACAGTCACCATTTTCGCAACAGGAGCAAAAGTCTCAGTATAATCAATACCTGCACGTTGATGGTTGCCAAGTACCACCAACCGGGCTTTGAACCGCTCCACGGTGCCATCGGAGTTATATTTGATCTTATAGACCCATTTGCAACCGAGTGCCCGTTTGCCCGGAGGAAGATGTACCACGTCCCATGTATGATTATTTTCAAGTGCCTGGACTTCAGCTTGCATGGCGGCACGCCAAGCAGGATCGGTCATAGCCTCGCGAAAGGAACGAGGTTCCTCGCCTGAAAGAATGGCTCCAAGAAATGCTCTATAATTGGCGGAAAATTTTTCACAATTTAAATAATGTGCTAAAGGGTAGGACGTACCTGAGACACCCGAAGGAGCAAGCGGTGGGGAAGATGGGCTATATTTCCGGATGTGATGAGTAACAAAATCACGCAACAAGACGGAGGTGCGTTTGGTACGCATCCCCCGCCCGAGTGGACCGGCCGTAGCATCCACCGAAGAGAGAGCAGTACCTGAGGTCTCAGGAGGAGTGTCTGCCAAGTTGGGGTCCTCAAAAATAATAGGGGAGCTGCTGCTGGGAATATCGGCAGTAGATGCCGAAGGTTGCTGGTCAGAAAACGGGAAAACGTCCTCATGAAACTTCACATCTCGGGAAACAAAAATGTCACCAGTAGCATAATCATACAACTTCCAACCCTTTTTGCCAGAGGAGTAACCAATAAAAACACACTTCCTACTCCGCGGATTGAATTTATCACCACGAGATTTTAGGTTGTGTGCAAAACTTAAACAACCAAAAACCCGTAGGTGAGAAAAGTCCGGTGCTTTGCCCGTGAGCACTTCGTACGGCGTTTTCCCCCCTAACAAACCTGAAGGAGTTCTATTAATGACATGCACCGCAGTAAGAACACATTCTCCCCACAGATGTTTGGGAATGCTAGCCTGGAACATCAAAGCACGAGCAACATTCAAAATGTGACGATGTTTCCTTTCAACACGCCCATTCTGCTGAGGTGTTTCTACACAAGATGTCTGAAAAACAATCCCATGATTTTCAAAATATGAAAGCATGCCCTTAAACTCAGTGCCATTATCGCTACGAATGATTTTAACGGGTACTTCAAATTGCTTTTCCACCATGATAATAAAGGAAATAAAAAAACGGATCACTTCCTTTTTATCACGTAACAAGTACACCCAAACAGCTCTTGAAAAATCATCAACAAGAGTGAGAAAGTAGATTGCATCACAGGTAGAAGGCGTGTTATACGGACCCCACAAATCACAGTGTATTAATTCTAAAACACGAGTGCTTTTATAACTACTGATAGGGAAAGATTCCCGAGTTTGCTTGGCTTGCGGACACACCTCGCAAGCCTTATTTGATTTATTCGCAGAACTACTATTAGTAATGTGAGGTAAAAATTTTAAAACACGATCTGATGGATGACCTAGCCGACGATGCCACAGTTCAAAATCTGACAAGCTTGATGCATGAACAGCGTGTAGCGCAGGTACACCCCGGAAATAATATAGCCCATCTCTCCTTTCACCTGCTCCAATCAGGTTCCTCGAGGGTAGGTCCTGTATAGCACAAAATAAATTAGTGAAAGTGATAATGCAATTGATTTTATCTGTCAATTGTGACACAGATATGAGATGACAATTCAGGCCAGGCACATAGAAAACATTATCAAGCACTAAATTTTTATTTAGGAGCACACGCCCTTCCATCTTAGCAGATACAGTCCGTCCGTCCGGTAATCCAACCGGGCATGCATTAATACGTGTACGTTGTGTAAGGCAAGACAAATCTCCCGTAACGTGATGTGATGCTCCAGTATCAATAATCCAAGGTAAGGAAGTATACATACCCGTCATGCGATCACAGGAGCCAGGATCAACATTAATTAAATTCAAGAGAGCTTGAACCTGTGCCGCACTCAGGTCACTCAACGCGTTGTATACCTTGCTAGAAGAATTGCCGCTGCCAGTGTTCGTCCCGGCGCTACTGCCGGTGCTGGGACCTGGATCACTGCCGGTGGCCGCCGTCACGGCATGGGCTCGAGCACCTCCTCCTCGGCCGGCAGTAGAATTTTTGGTGCGGTTCCTCTCCTCCCACCAATCTGGGTAGCCATGCAACTTGAAACACGCCCCAACTTCGTGACCCTTTTGTTTGCAATGGGTACACATAAGTTTGGTCTTATCAACTCGTTCTTGACGTCCTTTCGTAACCGCAAAAGCTTGCACGTCTATCATGGCTGGCTGCTTTGCCCGAGCTATAGCCCGGGAATTTTCTTCTTGCAAGAAAGCTTGGTGAGCACGTTCCAGAGTAGGCAGAGGAGTCTGTGACAGTAAGTTTGAACGCACGGTCCCAAATATGTCGTCATCAATTCCAATCAAAAACTGATGGAATTGTTCTTCTTCACGTTCCGCGGCAAACTTTGCAGCAACGTTGCATGTGCATAAACCGCAGGTGCAAGCATGCAGAGGTTTGAGTCGATTTAATTCGTCATAAAGGCTCATAAGCATAGTGTAGTAGGCGTCCACGGACATATTATTGGACTGCTTACACCCTGTTATAGAAGCACGAAGTTGCTGTAACCTCGGTCCATTCGAAACGCTAAAACGTTTTTCCAAATATACCCATAATGCGCGAGCTTCGTCGTGGAAGGGGATTGACGCCGCCACGTTGGGTTCCATACTTCTCAACAACCAAGATACCACCATTGAATTAGCGGTCTCCCAGTTAAGCAAATTTGCCGCCCCGGTCGGTTTCTTTTCGGTCCCATCTACGAACACGAATTTTCGTCGTGCCTTCAACGAGAGAGTAATGGCCCGAGACCAAGCCACATAGTTATCTCCTTTGAAGATTACGTGTGTAATCACGTTTCCGGGTTGATCCCCGGATCCGAGATAGTAGGGTGAGGATGGATCAACCATGGTTTCCACCGGAAGTAGTCGCGCGGGGACTGTTCCGATTGCCGCTGGTGTTTTCCGATCACTGGTTCGCACGGCTTAAATCCGTGGCTCTGATACCATGTTCGGCTAGAGATGTTCAGCCGAAGGAAAGAAAATATTTAGGGATTCAAGATTTGATTGTGTTATTGATCTCTTTGGAATGTACAATATTTATAGATGCTAATGTGAGCCCTTGGCCCGTTAACTATAATAATTAACAACTAATGTAAACAAATATACAAAGCCCGATAACACCGTACTATCGCAGAGCTTTCTTAAATACAGAAACATACTCGACTAAACTAGGAGTAGTTTAGAACATCACGTGAAACTTATTTTAAGTGTGAAGACTTTACCTTCTTCATCATAGACTCCAGAGTCAATTTGATAATACTAAAATTAGCTGAATTGGTTAATTCTGCTAAAATTATGAAGTTCTGGTTGAAGTGGCTGTACTGATTGATTCTGCTGATTCATAAAAAATTATATTATCGTATTTAAAACATTTGTTATTAATAAATAAAATAAAAAATTATATGAAAAATAACTAAACTGATTCTCTACAGTAACTTCAGCCAATATAGCCAGAAAAGTAACTACAACCCGACTTTTTCTACTTATTACATAATTCAGCACGCGAAATTAAAAATTACGTGTTTGGTGAAAAAGACGACTTTAAAAATCATAGTCATCCAGATCACTAAATAGTTAATACATACGGAGTATAAAGCATTTTTGTAAAAGATGCTTCGAAATTCTAATTATGTAATTAATAATTTGTCAAAATCAATAGCACTTACATCACAACAGGTTCAATTCTAATTCTCCAAAATAATATATATGCTCAATAAAGATTACAGATATACCATCAATAAAGATTATTTACATCCATTGTTGTTTCTGTGCTCAAATTTCAGGGTTACCTAAACAAGAGTAATAAACCTGTTTAAGCATTAAAAGCCCGTACTTTGTTAATTGATTAAGCAAATATTATTGTATCATCTTACCTCTACAACAGTATTGTGCTGATAGTTTTTATATTTCTTGTGGTGTTCATAAATGAGTTCTTCAAAAATAAAAATTGAAAACATGGAGCACAAGATTTGCCATGGACAAGGAAACAAGATAAGCAAGAAATTGACCAATCTCCTTTATTTGGACAATGATATACTCTATGATATAGAGTATTACTCCCTAGTCCCTATATTATCTCCTCCTTTGATAATGCACACAAATTATAATAGTGAATTTTGTGTGGTGGAGAGTTGTGCAGAGAAGAGAGAAATGCATAAGAATTGTAAGAATGATTGAAGATAATATAGGGACGGAGATATTTGCCAGAAAGGGAAAGGGGAGATATTTTGGAAAGAACAAAAAAGAAAAACTTGAAGATAATATAGGAACGGGAGTATATAGTGATGCAGTGATTTTATTATGTGTGTTCCTAATAGACACATCGATACAAAAATTAGACGAATCGAGATGTGAGAGGGGGAAAGGAAAAGAACGACCTAGATAGACATGAATTATAGCAGAGTCAAATTATCAATACCTAGATAGACATGATATAACATTATAACCAATTAGTAGCACAAATGATCAATACTTTCATTTATCGTTTAAATGATTAGGCTGTATTTATTATCTCTAAAGAGATTAAACATTGCCGGCTTTATTGTGAAGTTATAAATTAAGCTTGTTGAGTAGGAAATGGAGTAGATAATATTCATCATTCATGCTTAGTTGTTATGATGGATGAGAAGCAACAACCCAATCCAACTTGCCTTTGATAAGCAACATTACATGCAAATTGATCCACAAACAAACTCACAAGGAGCCAAGTTGCAAGAAGTGGGTGTGTGAGGGTTTATTCTTCCCTCCCCCACTCTTATCTTCAATTTCTCCTTGACCAAAAAGCATTGACGTTTTTGCTTTAATTTAATAAAACAAATGTGTGGTGCCCATCTAGCCACGTATTCAGAATTTTTACATTGCCAGGTCAAGATTAAATTTTAGTTCCAAAATGTAAATAATATGATTGAGGATGTTTTCTTTTGGACTAAAATTTGCTGGTCTGGTCTGGTATGGTCTGATCTAGTCTGGTCTGGTCTGATTTGAACTGGTCTGGTCTGGTAAACGTCTGGTGTCTGTGTATTTTATAACTACGGAAGTCAAGTCTGCCCTGGTCTGATCTGGTCTGGTCTGATTTGGTCTGGGACTGAAAACAGTCCAAAAGAAAACATCCTGATTCATGACATTTTTGCTAAAATATTACCTATATAAAAATCTATGGATAAAAACATGTCTAAGTTAGTATGAGTAATGTTTATAGTCACTATGATGTAAAGTTTGAACATTATTATAATCATTAATAGTTATTAGATCACATTTTTGTCACAACTTTTATTTTGATTATATATTTGAAGTTATTTCTTAATTCAATAAAAAAATTGAATAAAAAATTGAATTTTTTCTAAATTAATGCAAGTTAAATACCCCCAAACTACGCGCGTTGAGAAATACCTCCCAAACAATAATTTGAGGAGCCCATCTGAATTGCTACTCGTCCCTTGAGTTTCTAAATTAATGCAAGTCATTGTTAACCCAAAATAAGGTTGGGTTAACAATAATTCCCAAACTACAGCTACCCTAGTTAAAACAAAGTCCTTGGTTACGCATAACCGGTGATCTGACCGATCTCAAGGGACGAGTAGCAATTCAGATGGGCTCCTCAAATTATAAAAACATTTTTTCCCTTTAAATACTCTATTACGTATAACATTTTTATTTTTGCTCTATTTTTTATAAAAAAAAATATATCACAATTCATAACTTTTTATGAGCTTTCATTTGACACTAATGTTGCATATGTCATTTAAAAAAAATTGTAGAGCATATGGAGCCCGTTTGGTGATCTTTTTTTCGACTTACCAGTTTTATCAGCCAACTTTTTCACCAAACACATATTTTTTTAATTCGCGCGTTGAATTGTGTAATAATCAAATTAAGTAAGGTCAGTGTTATTTTTCTGATTACATTGGTTAGGGTATTGTAGATGTCCATTTCAGCTTTTTTCTTGACTTATTAATAAAAAAAATATTTTAAGTATAATTTTTTACGTAGCAATAAATAAGCTGATTCAACCAATACACTCATGTCAACCTGAACTTCATAAATTTCAACATATTCAATCAATTCAGTCAACTTTGAGTGTTACTAAACGACTTCATAGTGACTTATTTAATCTCAAATCTGAAGATAAAAACCCGAAGAAAAAAAATCTAAAGTTGGTCCGGTAATTATTAATTCAACATTATTTTCTTAATCTTTTATTCAATTAGCATTAGTTAGGAAAAACTTAAATTATTTTCTATTAATAAAATGAATAAAAAAGCTACTAGTAAAACATACATCTATAGTAACTTCAGTCAATGCAGTCAGAAAAGTAATTACAATCTCACTAATTTTGATTATTACCCAACAAGCACACAAAATCAAAAGTTTCGTGTTTGGTGAAAAAGTTAGTTGATAAGAGTTATAAGTCGAAAAGGGGGTCCCCAAACGGGCTCCATATGCTCTTCAGATTTTTTTTTAAAATTACATAGGCAAATTGATGTCAAATGAAAGCTCATAAAAAATTAGGAATTGTAATATATTTTTAATACAAAATGGAGCAAAAATAAAAAGGTTATAGCCATTTAAAGGAAAATGTGGGTTTTATAATATGGGGGACCCATCTCCATGGTTGATTGGTACGTTTCTGGCTCATTGTTTAGTAACGGTATGACGGTATGTTGAGATCACCGTAAAGTGGGGGCTTTGGTTTAACTAGGATAGGAGTAGTGTGGTAATTATTATTAACCCAACCTTACATCGGTAAATATTTATTTTAGTAGCATTAATTAAGAAAAAAACTCAAAAAAATTAAAATTAGCCTAAAATATTTAAAATATCACTAGAAAGTAATTCTCTATGCTCTGTCATATTTTCAAACTATTGTATTACCTCATTCGGTACTCATAAAGTCATAAGGTCAAACACGACTATTGTATTCCCACGGATTTTAATTTGTATCTCTAAATTTTGAACACGGTTGTTTTTGCCTCTCAAGTTATGCTTGAAAAAGATTTTTTTTCTTCAAAACGACATCGTTTAGCCTCTCGTGAAGAAATCAAGTGGGCAGTTATATGTCTGTCGGTCTGCCGCACCAGGCTCAGCTATGCCACAATGGGCCCAAATCAGCAACTGCCCACCCCTCGAGTGAGCTCCAAATGAGCATGGGCCACGATAGCTCACCTATGTTCTTTAATTCTTGAAACATTGCAATTTTTGTATTATTCAGAAATCTTACTTTGATCAAGGTTTTCTACTAATATACATAACCAAATTATTATGTATAAAATGTTATTGAATTCTCATCAATGTGAATTTCCAAAATATCAACTTTTTATAATGTTTACTAATACACAATTAAATGTAATTGCAGTCAAAGTTGCGCATTGGCAAATGTGAAAGTCAAACTATTGCAAGAATTAAAGAACGGAGAATAGTATAAAGGAAGTCTGCCGCAATCGATCCAATACATTCTCGTCTTCAGGCGAGCCCTCAAGAAAGAGTTTTTGACAACTGAGGGTGAAGCCCTCAACTACATTCCAGAGGACCCTAGGTCTTCTTCCATCTAGCACTCAACCACCGCATTCAATGCTCATCCACATGCCCAAATTTGTCTTAGAGTATCCACATTCATGATATTCAATTTTACGTTTTTTCATAACTTATTATTTCATGTCACCTCTACATAAGATAATCTCAAATAATTTCCAAACCTATAAATTTCTCCTCATTCATGATCTTAATTTACCTTGGATATGAGCATGAGCATGCACGAACTACAAAACTAGTCATCACCATAATTATGAGTATATGCCTAGAAGTTGGAAATAATCTCAAAATAATCCAGCTTTAGAATTTGATACCAGATTATTTTATCAAATAATCTCATAAAATAATCTCAACTCCTCATCCATGATCCAAAAAACAATCCTCCACATCATCAAAACAATCTCAAAAATAATCTATGAATGTGGATGCCCTTACACCAGTGCTTTCTGTCATAGACTAACTTACACGTGT